CCAAGTGGTCCACTTGTGTGGACGAATTGGAACCACTTGGCTGGTAGGGCCATACCGTCTGAGTGGTTCCGTAGCAAGACTCTGGCTCTGATAGCCCGGAGCAGCTAGCGTACGCCGCGCTGGTGTGGAAATGACGATCCCCATGCATGAACGCGGACTCAGACTGCGGCCTCTGAATGACAGGCGAGAACCAGGGTCGCCGGGCCCGGAGTGCCGGCTCTCGATGACGGGCAACAAGGAAGTACATTAAACACATTAGCTGTCTTCTAGTTGTGTTGTGTCGCTCCCTGCGAGACGAGCAAAGCACAGACCGATAGGGCGGCAATTATTATAGAGCGACCCGACATAAAAATTGCCGGTGTTGCCAAGGCGCGCCGTTCCCGTCAGTCCTGATTGGAACCTAGATGGTAGACCGCTCCGGGGATCGCCATGAGCCAGTCGGGTTCCATCGTTCTTGCCCGGCGCCAGCTTCGCGCAAAACACTATCCAGCTCCAGCTGGTGCCTCTTTTGCCACGGCTTGCCACGTATCCTCCGCCCCGCAGTCTTTCACCCTCTTCTCCTACAACGTATATCTGTATCACAATATACAAGTCATTCGAGTAAAGTGAACCCATAGAGCTGACTCTGCGAAGAGTACCAGTTGCAAACTGTAGAAAAAAAAAACACTTCTTTTTAGAATGTATTAACGTAGCAAATTAAAAAAAAATGTATTTTGTTTCTTTTGGTTGCGTAATGCCACTCTCGCCTTCCCCGCTGTGGAGGAAGAAGACATTTTAACCAATATACTGCGTTCACAAAACAAAGTCATCTTATTGACTCCCCTATCTAGATTCAAAGTGTCTGTTTGCTTACAATGTTGGTTTCTAGCTGCGGTGATATGACTTTTCTGGCAAAGTTGCCTGACTTCATGACCAAGTAAGCGGTTCCAGATGAAGCCTAGATGTGAACGATCAGAGGCTACATTTTATGTTGCAATACCAAGACAATTGTACTCCATTTCACATTAAGCTCAACCGAAGCCAAAGCTACAATCCCATAGAGTTAATCAAGCCGCACCGAAAGTGCTTCGTCGTGTCACTCGTCGTTTTTGTGCGTCTATTAGGACCAACTAAACCACTCAAGAACGTAACGCGCAGAATCACACCGCAATGCCTGTGCGTGATCGGTTTAACCGGTAATGCAAACGCACAAAAGTGACAATCCCCGCGACGATCGACTTTTCGCGCTCTTTGATTGGATTCATTATATTGTAACGTTGGCTACGGCCACACTTAATGTAAAGCCGAGTTAGTAGCATGGAAGTGCTTGGCGTGTATCTATCTCTTCATGGAGGAGCTCCACCCAGACGACTTCCGACCCTGAGATTCTCCAATTCATCTTGCTGCAGCTGTTCGTAGTCAGGACCAGACTCGAAGGTAGGAAGCTTCTCGAGAAAACATCACACTACCAGAGGTGAAGCCGGGGGACACTTGCTGTTTTGAGGGACGTCTCCCCAATGATGGCCAAAAACACGCAAAACCAAAACCTTATTGGACAGACTTGCACACCCTTATACGATTATATGGCGATCTTTACTTCCGGTTTCACTTGGGATTTTCTTTTTGTTTAGCTGGCTGAGCCGGTATGTCGCCTCCTCTAACTACCTCCACGGGGCCAAGCCACCTTGCTGCGTTGTGATTTCTCGCGAACGCGCTGCGCTGCGTAGCGAGTACCAGGAGCACACCCAGAAGGTTGTTGTTTGTCGTGCCATGAAAGGGACACTGACAACACCCAAAAAAAGTTTTTATTTTTTAATTCTTGTCAGGCGCTTTATTATATTTGTCGGTGGACTACCCAATTAATATTTTGCAAGAGTAGCGTATTTTGTTTTTAAATAAAGCCAAAAGACGCAACTGCTCGAAACCAAAACCGAAACCAGCGCCCGGAGGTCGAAGAAGTGGAGGGAAAAGAGTGACTGGCGGAAGTCACGTGACTAGACCCGACCGTGCGTTTCTTTTTTTTATCATTTGCGTATGAGACGACTTGTGGCGTAGCCGGAACTGTTTGCCGTGCGATTCTTTAGCAGTTATGTTTGTTCCGCTCGCTGTTCTGCACTCCAAGATGAGTTGTTTTGTACATTGTAGAGTTGGAGATGAGTAGTAAGTGCCCGTGGCGAATTTCCACGATTGGCTCCGAAAAGAATACACCCAAGATGTTGCGTGAAGAGCTGGCTCACATATCCTTCGTCCAAAACAAAAAAAGTGGCATTGTGCGACAGAGTTTCCAAAAGATCAACGGGATAGGGACCAATGGCTGGCTGCAATTCTTGTAGAACATTTACTGGCACCTCGGAAAGTGGACGCTACCTGATTTATATGCTTCTTGCATTTTGTGGAAAGTGATTACATTGAGTTCGCAGGTGTCAAAAAGGATATCCCATACCATTTAATTCAGCAACGTGTCGTGCACAACATTAGTTTGTTAATTTTATGTTTGTTTCTTCAGTGATAATTGTTAAAAAAAAAAGGAAATGTAGACACCAGAAAATGTTTAAAAAAAAGAAGAAAAAAACTTTCACTGGAGATCGAACGCGGCCCTACTGCGTGTGAAGCGGAAGTCTTTCCCACTGAGCTACTGGGGCATCTCTTTACTGGGGGGGGGGGGGGGGGGGGATCTTTTTCTTTACTAATAATTCAACCGGTAAACTGTAAGTTGGACAGTTTGCCGACGATTTTCATATTGAATGAGTTAAAACAGCGGAAAAAGACGAACGACCAGTAAAAGGAAACACACAGACACAGCGCTGTGTCTGAGTTTCCTTTCGCTGGTCCTTCGTCTTTTTGCGCTGTTTTAACCCATTCATTATGGCCATCAACCATCACGCCCAACTTTACACCTTGTTGCGGATTTTCCCCCAGCAAAAGGACTCCCGGGTCAAAGTCGGGAAGCACCACGGATTGGCGACATTCGCACCGAGTAAAGATATCGTACGCGTGCATATTCAACTCGAAGGAGACACGTCGTGCTTGACGTTTGCGCGAGCGATGTCTTCAGCCACGAGAAGGGAGCGACGGCTCGGCGACGTCTTCGTGCTAATCGGCTTGGTGGTCGGGCTTGTCGTACAGGATGAATACCAATTCTTTTCATTAGTCCTCTTTTAAAGACAGACAAAATTCACCTGTACCGCGAACGACAGTTGTGAAGTAGAGGTCCCACGCCCGTCGTCCGCTACCATCGCCGTCCTCGCGAGTCCCACGATACGCGAAACGACGCACGCCCAGAATGCTTCCGGTTTTCTGTGGAACTTTTTCTTTTTCAATCAACGTATTTGCAGCATTTTATAATCTAGAATATGAATTTCATGTTTGTTTTTCTATTTTTAATATTGAGTGCGCGCCTTAAGTGGCCAACGACTTTGATTAAATTGGGTGGTCGCATCGATACCTTAGGAAACGGCCCGTGACGACGGAAAAGAAAGTGAGCGCGACTCGAACTGGCCAGTTCTTGATCTTCGGTTTTCGGGCGGAAAGAAACCGAACTTCGAGTCGCAAATTCTTTTCTTGGTAGTTAGGCTCTCAAATGTCATGTACAACTAAGAACCTTGGCGAGAATAAACAACCTGTCAGTGTCCCTTTAAGACGCCCTCACCTCAAAGCAAGATATGTTGGCCGTTTCGCGAGGAGTGCAGGAAAAATAGAGAACTCACTTGGAACCTTTTCGACCCATTAAAATTAAGCTTGACTAGTTCGTAGCAAGCCTCTCCTGGTCAATATCAGATAAAGTAATCCGGGCCCGGGGCGCTATTCAATAATACGGGGCTGTCCGCCAATTCACGTAGCGGTGTAAACTAATGAGGGGCGTTTGAATAAGATTTTTTACGTTACGGGCGAACCGATGATATTGAGTTCTGGCAATTTCGCAGCGTTTATTCCGTAAAACGCACACAAAGTGAAAAAGCAAGGGGTCTTGGAGGTGCCATATATTGAAGGCGCGGCCGCGGTAATATAGGCGCGTTCTATCAAATTTAAGAACCAAAAACCCGTATCACTGTACCCGCGCCTCCCTGTAGCGGAGTCACGAATTTGAATTTTACCGGTTAATTTGTACAATTGCGTTTGAGGGTGCTAGAGTACAGTGGATTCTGCGGTAATTGCTTACGAGAAAAAAGCAGTCTGGCACATTTTGCCACGTGTCAGGTAGCATGGCAACGATTCGAACCTGCATATATAGTTTTATGATTGTTTAGGCACCATTCGTTCACCCTGCACTTCTGAATATTCTGAGTATGCTTTAGAGGACTCTTTTCTATGCGTACTGCGTAGATTTTATCGCTCAAATGTAAAAATATTTAGTCAAGTTATGCACAGGTGCCAAGCGTTCCAGGATTACCCGATAGATGGCGGTATCCAGCAACTATTTCAACCAGCGTATGCAACGAATCTGGCGCCGCTTTACTTTCATATGTCTTCTTCACCGAAGCGGCACCAGAAAGTGGAGGAATTCCGCATCGACGACGCCGTCATGGACGCTGTGTGGGAGTGGACTGAGATTCAATATCAATACCTTCCAATCCACTGGTTGGCAGCAATGGGAGAGCTACATCATACTTATTTTTCGCCACATTTCTGGTGCAAAATAAAGTTTGTATCTTACTCATGGGGCCTACTCTGAGAAGTCCTGAATTGGAATTTGCCTAGGACCTTCTTTCCTTGAGAGGAAGGGTCACTACTTCGCAAAGATGTATGTTATATTAAACAAATGAGACTCGTTTTCAATAAGGTTTATTCAAACTACACAAAGAGAAACAATTTTCCGGTAATCTACACTATCATGTGACTTTACGGCGCCGTCTGAAGCTGTTTCCCATGAAGTGTTTTTAACAAAATACATGCTCTTGCCGCTTGCACAAAATTGTCCTGGCTGGCGCTGAGACGTCGTTCTACCATTGAGCGTGCGCCGCGTTTATGCAGTTCCTCTCACCATGCAAATGGCAGTTAATCTGAACGATAACCTCCCGCAGCGGCAGTATGACTTTCGACGATCTGAAGAATTCAGCGATTGCTGAGGACTACGCCACCATGAACTCTGTGTCTGCCAAAGTACAGTTCGATCAAGACGCTTTCATCCAATATTCATCAGTAAGTACCTAAAATCATCTCCATTTTTTTTAAACTTGAAGACACTAAAATATTACCTAGAGCAATATTCTGAAACTAAACCACCACACTGCTGTTCGCAGCAGAGTGAATTGTGGGGCGGTTCAGACGTGGACTGGATTCGACTCCAACGCTCCGCATTATCCGGAAGTGAGGTCAATTCATTCTGGTAATTTTAAAAGGAGAACTAAAACGTAAGAAAATAAATTTGGACAAGATTCGATCCATACTGAACTTTATAATCGTCATGTATTCATTGTCTTTTTCCCTCAGAAATTAAGAAAAAAAATTAACCAACATAATTGTGTTCCTTCTCTTTCTATCAATCTACAGATAACTTTGTTTTGCGCGAAACATCGGGTTGCCGCAATGCGTCGAAAAGACACACAAGGATGGCACGTAATTTCAAAATAGTCGCTACAAGTCAATGAGATGGCATACTTTATGATAACACTTCGTAAACGCTACGTTTAAAACTGTTTGTTTCATGCTCCTTTTTCTCGAAGGAATAATTGAGCATTAGTTTCTATCGATGCCAAATAACCATCCTTGTGAAAGTAAAGTTGAGCAGCCTCTCTTCTTGCATTCCACTTCCGTGATCCCAGGCATACCGCGATCGTTCTTCAGATACTAATAGCGTAGTGTGGTTACCTTGTGTGGCATAGAAGGTCACTTAAATTATTAATGCCTCAATTGTGCGGGTGGCTTGCCTTACCGGACACCCGACACGGAAGAATTACAAGTAGCCATACGGTTTCAAAAATAATTATCTACAGATCACTGCACGAAAGCAGGAAAGGGAAGAATCTAGGCTTCTACCTTGTCTCTCGGCCGCCGCAGCTATGCCCAATCAAGGCAGTGCTCACGAGGTGCGCCTGGCCAGCCGCTCTGGGTCACCTCCAGGTGCTAATATGACCCGTTACCCTGGGCGTCGGGCGGCCTGACCAGCCATGATGGTAGCCTCCAAAGCGCCCACCATTTCTGAGTCTACACGTTATGTGACTGGTCTGCAAATACAGCCACAAATAACCTTGTTATGACACTTAGATGCAAAATGTTAACACAATATTTTGTTAATAATTAAGAAACGTATACATCAACAAAAAAACATTATTGTTTTCATAGTAACCCGGGCACGGTTTTGGGTCAAATTTTTCTTATTTTGACCTAAAAGACTGTGTTTGTGAGCAATCTTTCAATGAAAGACAGCGCAAACAGCAAGCTATGCTAATTTCCTGTTTACTCTTATATTAGTGACCATTGAAGCGATCGGCAAAACTGATGGTACTCTTCGTGGGGCTTTCATGTTTAGCCGCGTGCTATTTCGCAATTTCTCAAAATGCTTCTCTTGAGCTTTTCTCGCATTTTTTAAATCGATTTCATTATACCCAATGACATTTGCTTTTAGGCTTAAGAAAAAAAGGTAACTGTGGAAAGTTTTTTTTTATTAGTTCTTTAAACCAATTGCAAGTTCTTATGTGTGTTTTATTCAAGAAAGTTTAATGACCGTGATATAAAGCGAAATGTCAAGCTAAGCTGTTGTTTAATAAAAATTCAATATTAAACTTCAAAATACATTTCTTACAAAACATTTCTATGAAGAAATGTTTCAAAAATCTTCTCAATGTAACATTAATTTTATTAAAAAACCTTAATTTTCAATCGCTATTTTTTATTAGGCAGGTGGGATAGTGGTTCATTAGAAAAAATAAGTATAAAATAACGGTTTTGTTTGCGGGACTGTAATTAAAGTTTGAATCTTGTCAGATTTCTGTTGTGAGTTCGTCCTCGCATGGTCGATATTCTGACCAATATTTGGGGTTGATACGGTTAATGATCTAACAATAAAACTTACCTTAACCTCAAAATACAGAAACAAATATTTGCATATTGTCTAAAGTTAAGTAGTTTAATTAAGATTGCTTTAATCAAACGTTCACGCGTGCTGCACATGCCTCCTGTATAAATGCTCGCGCACATCCTTCAAAGCAGACACGGTCTCCCTAGCGCCTCTCTTTTGGGGTTCTTTAGTTTTTCATGTGTATCGTAAGATCAAAATACTGCTCGTCGACGGCTATCACCACAGTCACAACTGAAGATGAGTTCGGGCAGGCCTTTAACCGTTTGGTCATTAATTAGCTCTTAACTCGACTTTTTTTTTTAATGATATATTTTTTTCTCTATTTGACAGCGTCTGTTCTTGACTTTGCTTGGTTTTCGAGAAACCGTAGTACAGCACCGTCTATTCTGTGCACTGAGTATCGTGTGTGGTCTACAAGATGCTCATTTGAACATGGAGTTGCATAGCGTGCTTTTACCTTCGGTGCAGACCACCAAATAGGTTGCGCATCGGTAAAACTGCCAGTTCTTTTGGCAAACATTGTAACAGACAGTTAATTTGGCAGTTTTTCTATGCTATTTCGAACGCGTTCATTCAAGTGACGAAAATCCTCGGGTCCCATCTTTAATTAACATCAAGATCCTTGGCTGATATTTACGTTGCTTTTCATAAACTTAAAAGCAAATGAGTATTTGTTTCGTATATCTTAAAATATATATTTTTTTAACTTAACTGAGTATAACGTCTTAATAACATTTTGCGACCTTTAAGTATCCGGAGTTTATTGGGTGTGTTCAAAACATTAACTAAATATAGTTGTTGTGTGTTTAATTTGCTCCATACGCAATATAGCTCTGCTTCTCTGGTACGAGATCAAATTTCAAATTCTAATTCAAATTCTTTATTGATCCCTGAATCAGAGAAAGGAGGCAGAGAAAAAAGCAACTGACACGCTGCTTGACTAGCCTCTGTCCCCCACAGCAGCCCAGGGAAGAACAAACACAAACGTAGAAAATAGCATTTGACATATTCATTATAGCACGGGAAAGACATAATCTTTATTGCTAAGAAGAGGAATGTAAACAAAGGGGAGAGAAAAAAGAAACGAAAAAGTATGTCAGCAATAACAACACGCGCAAAACGTATAGAATCGTGTTATACAAATCTTTTTTTTTTTTACATGGGAGTAATTATTAGACAAGAAGTGAACATATTTGTTTGGAGGACATACTGAAGAAATCTATATCGAGTTCATAAAAATCATTCAGAAGATGGGGGAGGGTACATTTTAACATCTGATTCCCATAGTTTGTTCTGGAATGTGGCACTATTCACATCTCAGCATTAGGAGTGGGATAATTAGCTTGCCTGAGTTCAAGTTGGGAAATTGATATATACATATTTTCGTTCTGTCTAAAATACCTTTTGTAGGAAAGTGGAAGTTTAAAACTATAGTGATTTGGAATTTGTACTATATTAAATTTATAAAATAATGGCTTGGTATGACTATTGTATGCAGCATGAGATAAACCTCAAATTGCTTTTTTTTTTTGAAGATTATGTATTATTTTATGATTTGTAGCAGTCGTGTTACCCCATACTAAAAAGCACTAGTTGTAGTATGCGTAAAAAGGAGACTTGCTTCTAAGTAGCATAACAGAGATTAAATTCATATTTTGGTATTTATATATAATCCCAACAACTTTCGATAGCTTATTACCTAGCTGTTGCACAGTTTCGTCCCAACACAGGTATTCATTAAATATATTTCCTAATACTTTTGCATTTTCTACTATATCTATTTCACTTCCACCAAGTGGTGAGATAGTCATGTAGGTACATTTTGCATTATGTGATCTGAATAGAACGGCTTTAGTTTTATTTACATTTATTTTTAAGGAATTTATATCGTCCAAACATTTAGGTTATCAAGATATTGATTTGCTTTCTGTATAATTTGGTCAGCGTCATTCCCCGAGAAAAAGAGAGATGTGCCATCTGCATATATGATGTAACTAACGGTATCATCAATATGTACTATATCATTGATATATAAATCAAAAAGAAGGGGCTCGAGTATACTGCCCTGAGGCACGCCTGCTGTTGATTTCCTGAGATCTCATCTATTTTTATTGATTTCTACACACTGATAGCGGTTTTCTAAGTAACTTTTAATCAGCTCAAGAGCGACACCACGAACACCTGGCATATACAACTTTTGAATTAACGTTGGGTGATTAAGGCGATCGAAGGCTTTTGAAAAATCTATAAACACTCCGAGCGTAACCAGTTTATCTTCAATATTGTTTAAAATTAATTCTTTTTGATTTAGCAGCGCGAGTTCAATCGAGCGACCTTTTCTGAACCCATACTGACAGGCTGTCAGGATTGAAAATTTTTCACAAAAACAGTATAATCGTTTATGTAAACTTTTTCTTGACCTCTCGAAAATATTGGTAATACGGAAATAGGCCTATAATTGCCTAACTTATTTTTATTCCCAGCTTTATGTAAAACTGAAACTTTTGCCACCTGCATTTTCTTAGGAAAAACCCGTTTGCAACGCTAGATTAAAAATATGTGTCAAACACGGAACGATAGACCGTAGTACATGCTTAATACATTTAATTCGAAGTTGATAAAAATCACTGCTCCTGCTATTTTTGTCTTGAAAAACTGAGTATAATTCATCTTCATCAGTTGGACGAAGAAACAAACTGTCATTTACGCTGATCATGTATTTGCAAGCATGCACACTATGTGTACTATGAAGAAGTTCAACAAAGTATTCATTAAATTTTTCTGCTAAAGCCACACCACTTAGGTCAATACCATCAATTTTAAGTGTTGTTATCTTATCCATATGCAATCCATTTTTCATTAAACTATTCAACTTTTTCCAGACCGCAATTCTTAAAATATGCGTGCTTAGCTTGGTCTTAGGGCTTTAGTTACCGCGTTTCGTTGTTTTCGGAAGGCAGACAAAATGGCAACATTTTTGCTAAGTACAAATTTATGATAAAGAACATTTTTATTTTTAATCATGTGTAATACTTCAGACGTAACCCAAGGTTTACGGGATTTACGGTAAACTTTATGCAATTGATATGGAAAGCAACGATCATATATTATACTAAATTTTTCTAAAAAAAGTTGAAGGCTTCATCAGCTGACACACTAGACAGAACCATTCCACAGTCCTCAGAGTTCACTTGTTAAAATTTTTCAAGGTTTTTTTGCGCTTACGTTTCTAAAATAGACATCTTGTGAATTAATTTCCTTCCTCTTATAGCCTATGTCAGCAAGCATAAAAATTGGCAAATGGTCACTAACGGTTTCTCACACTACTCCCGAGATTACATCGGACTCGCACACGAGCAATGCTTCGTGATTAGGTGCAATACGAGTAGGCTGTACAATAACATTAAGCAAACCGTACGACTGAAATAAAAAAGAAAGTCTAGTTGACGTGGAGAAGACGTAAGCGGATCTATGTTGAAATCACCACCACAAAAAACCATAAAATCATTTTCACAAATAAACCTCAAAAACACATCAATCAATTCAAGAAAAGTAGCAATATTTCCACTTGGCGGCCGTTAAACAACACAAAATACAGATTTATGGTGCCTTAACGTCAGCATCTCGTAGTCATTTGTGATAATCGTAATATCATCAATCACGACACACTCAAAACTTTTGTTTACATACATGCATACACCGCCACCTTGTTTAACATTACGACATAAATTGAAATCTTCATAATTTTCTAGCGCATAAACTTCATCCCTTGACCAATACTATGTTTCGGTTAACATAATTACCTCATACATGAAATCAAAATTTCCTAAAATATGCCTAGTTCCTCGATTTTAGTTCTTACCGATTGTACATTAAGGTGAATCAGACTAAATGGTACATTATATTTGTGTTTAAAAACAAGCTCAACCTCACTTGGCAACAAATATGGCTTGTCCTTCATGTTTAGAAACAAAAAAAACAAATTTAGAGTGATCAACTGAAAGTGCAACGAAATCAGTCTAGCTTTACAAGTCATCCTTCGTTGCTATTAGATAGGACCGAGCCCCATCTGTCTCCCTTACAAAGGCCTTTCCATTCCTATACCAGACATACTGGTAACTCTTTGCTTTTGCCCATTGCTTTGTTTCTTGCTGTGTCAGGTTTTCCGAAATATAAATCTTGCTTCAGACACGTTTCAGGTTTGACCGATTATCTAGCCACAGGTCTCGCGTTGCCTGGCTAGCAAATAGAACAATGATTCCGGGTGTTTTATCTGGACGTGAAGCAAGCGTGTGCGTTACAACAACTTGATCTGTGGTCAAGTCGGGGACACCAAGTTGCCCTGCCAGCTCATTTAGCTTGGCCATGAGGTCTTCATTTTCACTTATGGGGATCCCGTGTATTTCTAAGTTTTGTTTGCGATTTCTCCGCTCCAGGTCGTGAACTTTCTGCTTTAGTTGATAAACTTCTGCTCCGGCCCCTGATTTCTCCAAGTTTGTGACCCTTTTCTTCAAGTCTTTTATTTCCTCGTGTTGCTCACCAACACGTTTCAACACATCGTCGCATTTTTCCGACATATGCTGAAGGGAGTGTTTTATACCATCCACCGTTGCCTTTAAGATTAGGAGCGTGTCCAGTTTTGCATTTATAGCCACCAACATGTTTGCTACGTTCAGTTCGGTATTTTGCGTTTGGTTTTGGAATAAACCTCAATTACAGCTGGAGGCACCGATGATTTAGCTGTCTGGACGTGCAAGGTCAGAGGACTCTACCGTGCAGACTGAGACTCTAGCGAGGAAGTAGACGAACGTCGAGCGTGCAATTTGCAAGTGTTGCATACCCAGTGATTGAGACTCTCCTGTGGCATTGACTTAAGAAAAGTTTTTGGAACTCCAGAGCACTTCCCAGTGTGATAACAGTGCTCACACTCTGAGCATTTAATGAAACAACTTTTAAATGCCACCGGTTTCTGGCATGAGATGCAGTCACTCATTTTGAAAAAAAAAATACTAAAAGAGGAAGCAACACAAAGCAACAGGATAGCAGACTAGCGGAATGCAAGCAGTCAAACACGGGGTGAAGAGAAAGCGAAAACAGTGCTTACCTACAAAATGAGAAGCAGCGTGTCAAATTAAGTTACCGAGGTAAAGCATTACGCCGGTCTGCGATGAACCGCTCTACCTCCAAGGCTTTTGTAGAGCACAGTACTGGACGCTTGATGCGGCTGCCAGTCCTTTGGTCGACTGATTACAAGCCTATCAATCACTCATACGTAGTAGTAGTAGTACTGGGCGTGTGCGGCGACGACAGGATGACACGGCAGCAATGCTCTGGCCTAAAACGTCCCAGCCTCAAACTCGTACAGCACGGCTTGCTCCGAAATACCGACGATGTCTCCCTACAAAATCAGAAGCAGCCTGTCAGATTAAGTTGCCGAGGTAAAGCATTCCGCCGGTCTGCGGCGGAATGCTTTACCTTCATCATAAGTTCCCATAATTTCCCTTTACCTTCATCATAAGTTCCTACAGTTGATCATAAATTCCTCTAATCGGACATGCAATGCTATATTTGTATGTGGTAGGCTAATATGGAGTGCCTATATGCAAATATAATTTACTACCTTGTTTTTTTGGTAGCTATAGCCTATTAAGCGCCACATATAACTTATTCAGTCTTAATTCTGAAAGAATTCATAAATTTTAAGGTCCATAAAAATAGGCTTATTACGTCTTGTGTTCTTTATTGTAAGTGAGTTCTGCTGGATTATGTTTAATTTTACTCCTTGATGAGTTTACTTTTTGTTTAGCATTTAATGCGTTTTCCCCTATTTGTTCAGCATTTCTGCTGGATTACGTTAAAGAACACTTGAAAATAGTTTTTTATGCAATACGTAATATTTGAGTCATATTTATGATTGAATATGTGCTTAAATATTAATATTTCATAATATACCATATCCACTTCAGAATATGTGCAATTAAAGCGCCCGGGCAAGAACACATTACATAACACATGTGGCAAGATTTAAGCTTTAAAGGGGCCCTGCAAGGAAATTTTTACTGGTTTTTAAATTGCACTAAATTTGAGCGAACTGAGCGTAGTAACGTAATGAAACTTTTTTTTTTCTCTCGAGTTCCGATTTATTAAAAAAGTTGTAGGCTGATTAAATTCGTAAAAACAAGCAAAAAATAACCTTCTTTATCATGTCCTTGGTCGCTTGAGTGACCGTGAACTAGAGCAGGTAGTGAGCTCAGCGAGCGCTCACGGCTGCCGCACTCCGCGTCGACGGTTCGAGAGGGCGTCACTAATGCATGCTCTTGATATTCTGTATAAAGCGCGCAGCCAGGGTGGCTCGCATTGCATTGGCTGCGCGAGGAAACACAAATTCGTCATGATACTTCATTGGCCACAAACGACAGGAAACATGGGGTAAAGCTCAGTTCAGAACGGGAGCCACTTTGCACTGCCATACCGCCAAATGGCCAAACCGCAAGCAAAGCCTACTCGCCGAAGTTCTTTGGAACGTTTGGAAGCGGTCGGATTCAGGAGCCAGTATGTGACCGCAGCGCCGCCGCGTACATCCGGGACCTTTCTACGCTCGCCGCTCGTAGGTGCCTGATCCCACTACGCTTTTCTTCTATGCGCCGCCTTTTCCACTGCTTGGTGGCGGGTATGTCGACGGGTCATTCTTTGTTTCCTTACTTTATAATCTGCATTTGTTTCTTTTCTGATCTAAAATTCTGAATACGAACTACTTCCATAAATAATCGAAAGGTTGGCGCCAATTATATTTTGGTTATTGGCTTAAAAGAATCTGTTAGTGGTTCTGACCAGTAGTAAGGCCAGGACCATAGACTTCACATATCCAGCGCTTTCGGCGCCGCGGGTCGCCCCTGTAGGTGGAGGAGGTTTCCGCGTCGTCTGGTTCAAATACGACGCACTGATATTTAGTTACTATCTCCGTGCCCGCTGGCTTGCCCGTACACCGAGAAACGTGTAAACCGCAAAAAAAAATGTAGATGCCTAAATATGATTGCAGGAATTGCGCTTATGTGCGGTCATATAACATATTAATTTTTACGTGTATTTTATTAATCAAACGCTAGACCTTTCCAAAGTACCTATACTACAAATAAACTGGACCTTCTTGAGAAAACAGATCTCGATTTTTTAACAAATTTCCGAAATCTTAATTTATGTGAAACATAACTTTTCATGTACAAATATAGAAATTCAAATATTTCTTTAAGCACAAAGCCGTTCACATTGTTAGTGTGACGTAGCGCAGCTCTTTGACAACTAGAATAAAATGGCTTGCGGTCAAACATGCTGTCACAGACAGGTGAGAGAATCTTCAGTTTTCGCCTCCGTCACTTTATTTGCCAATAATTCACAATGAGAGAATCTGATAAGCTTGCACTTTGCGTCGTATCTCATTTTAATAATGCTGCCTAAATACATATATGTTTCTCCTCAAATGCAAAATTCGATTAAAAATCCTATCTTTAGTGAACACGAAAACAACTCAAACATAGGTGCACCGTTCATCGTATTTTCTGTGTGGTAATACCGCAACTGGCCGCTCGGATTCATACCTTCACTGCTGTTTAATTAAAGGATTCATGTAGGATAAATATCTATTGTAAATGAGCTGCTTCTCCCCCTAATCTGTCTTCACTCTAAAAAATGTCTGTGCATCTACTTTCACGCCCAACACTTGAAGAGCCAATCACCGCAACTTACAGACGCAGCTCAGTGAATGACGATGCCGAAAGATATGTTTAGACCCAAAATGCAGTCTGAGTTTTGACATTAAGCAATGCAAAACGCCACACTTGTATTGCTTAATATCACAACTCAGACTGCGTTTTTTGGTCTAAATATATATCGGCATCGTTATTCGCTGGGCTGCCTCCATAAGTTGCGGTGATTGGCTCTCCGAGTGTTGTGCGTGAAAGTAGACGCACAGACGTTTTTTAAAGCGTTTAGGGGAGAGGACTACTGTAAACAATCAAGCTTTCTTTTATTAATGCAGGGCACAACGGGGCAGCCGAAAGCAGCGCGACTGTCTCACTTCAATGTTATCAACAACGCCAACATTGTTGGCCGCTTCGTGGGTTATCATCAAAAGGTATCGTTCTGTATATAGGACTAGTACTCGAAATTATATGACGCAAATGTATGTTTTTCGTAAATTCGAGCAATTTTCTGAGTAGCTGGTTTTGATGGAAGCTTTTAGCTGCGTTAGAGACGTCTTCTCCTGTGCCATCTTATTCGACTTCAAATTTTTCTATTTTTTTTCGCACTCCAGTCTGCCGTTTTAAACATCATGAAGCAAATATAAATTTTACACTGAGTTTATAAAAAAAAATATTCCCATGAAATGAGCAATTTCAAGCAAATAGCAGGTAGTGTGGTTTACCAACATCTGAAAACAATATCTTAAATGACAACCAAAACATTCCACCCATATTTTCGGGATGCCGTGGGCAAGCACGGCATCTCTTTACACAAATAAAAGTAAAACAAAAATTAGAATTGGGTTTTTAAAAAAGTCAACCCCGAATTACATATTGTTTTTGAACAATTTCACGTCTGTTCAACTGTATGCAAAGCATTTGTGTTGCACGCATATAGTTGTGCTAATAGGCAATTGAAATAGTCACATTTTGGATGGGGTGATATCGAATTTTTTTTAAATATATGACATTGTTTACACGTCAAAAATCGCCAATCTTTTGCACAAATCTTCAAATGAATAGAAATGTATTTTTGAGAGCTGTCAAATATAAAAAAATGATTTTCATTAATCCATTGAAATATGTATTTTGAGAGTATCACAGAAGGGTTCTGGTGAAATAGCTTTACGCGTGACAAAATAGAGAGCGGTCAAACATGCGGTGGCATGCAGGTAGGAAAAACAAGAAGAGGAAAAGAGCAATAATTACATAAGAATCACAAACGAATAGCTTCAAATATTCTCGTGACATACTACGTTCTAATACGAAATTCGTTGCCCGTCATCTAAACTTGTTAGAGCAGTTGCTAGAAGTTAGAACAATAAATTCTTCTTGGCATTCATCAATGGCAAATTTAGGCTGTACACAGGGTGGGATTTGATCCGTCATGCCATAAGAAAATGCTGATGACATTCTCATCAGCTCCGTTTTCGTAGAAATTGATTGATTATAAAGTTTGACCTTGTATATTGGGCCATTTTGATTGATCTACAATACTCAGGCAAGTGGAAAGCTGTACAGACCTGCGGATGCTTATTTTTTTCCTAATTACGCTTGCTGAAACATGGTACTCTTTTTGTTTGTAGCGTGAATCCATCTGCTTGAACACGGATTTGATCTACGGATTGGGCAGGACAATGGGTGTGCTGGCTGCCTCGATGTTCGGCTCCACAATAGTGACGGCGGGAGCTTACTTCCTGCCAAAAGTTGCCCTAGAAGTCATCACAAAGCACAGGTGACAAAGGCTTTGCATGAATTATTTACTATTCCCCAGGGTAGCCTGTTTCGTATTAGGAACAAACTGCCATATTGCGGAATTAGGGCATTGGCTGAAAATAAAACCACTCTCTAGATTATCGACCCGACTGTTTATTTTCAGAACTAGCCGCTCACTTTCTCCCCTACCAACAACTATATATCCTTCAATTTTTTTTATAAACTCAGTTTCTACTCGTGTAGATCGCATTCACAGGCAGAATTTCCCATTGTGTCATGTTCTAAACGCCATGGAGCGCACAAGCCCTTTTCATAAATCTCTCCATTCAGTCAACCTGTACAGTTATGACATTGCGTGTCGGCAGAAATAGATGTTTCAATATGAGAATGAGCATTTCATTGTTCAAAGGCGCCCTAGGTGGAGAGCAGTACGCTAAAATATGCTTACTGCATACTTTATGCATATAGTAAAAGCATAAAAGTATCTCCGCACTTTCGTGAAACATAAAAGTAAACTTGGATTGAGCGCGTTGGTAATGAATTCAAAAATATACGAAAGAGTCAGACGAAGAGGACGGACAGGACAAACATCTTTCGAAAGATGTTTGTCCTGTCTGTCCTCTTCGTCTGACTCTTTCGTATATTTTTGAATAAAAGTAAACTACTGTGATGTCTCTTGAACATCAACACTTCCGTTCCCCCAGAAATTGTTTATAATGCTTGTTGTCCCTAATAACGACCCTAATATGCATACACGTTTTTTTGTCCTCAAGAAAGGAATTCATATGGCGGGGTCTTCATAATAGCCTGGTCCGTATTAACTAGACATGACTGTATACGTATACGGATAGTACACTAGAAGAACACTGAAAGGTAACTTTTTTCTTCACCTAAAGTGGCCATCTAGATTGGAAATTATACAAAAATCACACACTAGTAAAGTTAAAGTATACAATAAAGTACATATAATCTAAGTGTGCTTGGCGTTCTCCAAAAGCGCAGTTTATGTTCAGCCCGTCGACAGCCTTCGAGCACTAAATCGCTGAGGTCTGCGTGAAAAAAGAAACGAACTTTCCTTATGCATTTCATGTATCACGTGATTAAAGCTAACAGCAACCTTCTTGAGAACGACACATTAAACACCTACAAAGCTTGTTAACCTCGCCCTTGAGTTGAGTAACATCTTGTCTTTCCAACCACTATAAAATGCTCTAGAACCAATAGCCCAGTTTACCTCCTTTACACCTTAGCACGCTTGCATTCGTTGTCTCGGGAAGTCAGAAAAGCGCACGCCACATGCAAGAAAGTTACACATACCACCTATAGAAAGTTCTTCGCTTTCTGGGGTATCTGTATATGTGTCAACGATTGTGTATTCATTTGGTATGCTCGAGGACAACTTTCGATCGTTAAGCAATGAAAGCAACGGGCGTCCATCTATATTACTTCGTTTCTGTTTCGTGTGCAACGCTGAGGAACTTGCTGTCGCGTGCTTGTGCCTTTCTTACGCGTTTTATTTGCACGCGCGTTTGCAAGTATCCTTGACAGCGCTGTGCACCGAGTGTGAAAGGGGTATAGATCACTGAGCCTTAAGCGCAACTCAAGGCAATGCACGAGCGCCTTTCACACTGGAAATGCCACAGAACCCATAAGTCGATTTTAAAATGATTCGCGATTACGAATGTAAGCCACTATTTGGACAAGCTTCCAGGTGATAAATAAGTAGGACGCAAAGTTATATTAAAGCTCGTGCTGGAACGCTATCACTAAAACAAAAAAAAACCCGTGAGTCTACTTTCCCGCACAACACTTACAGAGTCAATCACCGCCACTTACGGAGGTAGCTCGGCGAATGACAATGCCGAAACATATGTTTAGACCAAAAAACGTAGTCTGAGTTGCGACATTAAGCAATGCAAGCGTGGCGTTTTGCATTGCTTAATGTCACAACTCAGACTGCGTTTTTCGGTCTGAACATTTGCTTCGGCATGTCGTTCGCTGAGCTGCCTCCGTAAGTCGCGGTGATTGGCTCTTCGAGTTTTGTGCGTGAAAGTAGACGCACAAACATTGTTTAGAGTGTATGAGTTTGCGTATGCATTGTTTTAGGTTAGTCCATGTTAAGGCGAGAAACGGTATGACATTACGACAATGACGAAAAACCTAGAAACGAACTCTCTAATGTATAGAAAAGGCAGTCTGAACACACGAGTCACCGCAACATCTGTGGACCGAACGCCGCGTGCCAAATTTTCTTCTTGAACGCATTGCCATCCGGCATTCGAAGCAAGGATCTGGCGGTGATTTTCCTTTGTATATTTAGGCAGACTGTCTTTTGTATGATGTATAAGCAGTGTGACAACGACTTAATATTACAGCTCTGTCAAACACATCCTGCTATTTTGCCATTGACCTTGAAGGCAGGTTCACACAGACCCATTTTCTTACGTTACGTTACGTTAAGTTACGAAAAGTTACCGGGAAATCTGTGCTTTGTAACAAGCTTGGCTACCAATTCAAGGAGGTATACCTGACACGCCACATTTGAAACACGAATGTTTCGGTGATTTAGACCTAACGTAACTAACGTGAGCGGAGCTAACGTAAGAATACGGTGCTGTGTGAAATGTTGAACTGAGCTACACTCCTTATGTTACGTTACGGCGAGCCTTGTGTCCTTGGTTGCCACGGTAACTCACCGCCCTAGCTCGTCGTCACCAAAACATTCGTGTCTCAAATGTCTTGTGCCAGGCCATATCCTTGAATTGGTACCCACGCTTATTACGAAGCACAGATTTCTCCGTGACTTTTCGTAACGTAACGTAAGGAAACGGGCATGTGTGAACTAGCCTTTAAAGCTTCAGTTTCAAGCACTTTGGTCACGTCAGAAATGCCGAAGCGTCATGTAAGTCTGCCCGGTCTGCCCATACAGAGTGAAAGGCAGGAGCGGTCTGAACAACGATAACAAAATCAAAAAGGACAAATGTATTACATACACGATACACGTGCCAACAATGAACTGCTACGAAGTTGAAAATAAAATCTGAAGTCATCTATTTTGTGCGGATGTTTATACCGCCTGAAGTTAGTCTGCCACATCGGGCTACTTATCTCGCAGATCTAGGTGAGCAATTCAGCCAGTGCTGTGGAACCGCTAAACTGTGTTTTTTTAACATGCATCACGCAGTGATGATAGGCGACCCCACGCCTGTACGATGATAATCCAGATCGAAACGGGTTGCGGTAAAATTGAGCCTAGGATATTTGAGTTCTGCAGCTCGAGCTCGAGCTCAACTTACCTCGAGCTGGTGCGCACTAGACCATTCGGCCATCTACCCCGCAAAAACAGATGTCTTCGTTTTATTCATCCGTAGCGAGCGATAAAACTGGTGTATTAAGACTGAGCAGATTCGCCCCTAGAGTCCTTCGCAAACTGTTGGTCTTATATACGGAAGCGGCAGAAGCGACCCGAAGCACGCTCGTCATCTCATCGAAAAACGCGTGCGAAGTGTGCATACTAAGGAATTCACTGATGGATTTCTAAAGGCATAATCCAGTCTTCGGTGCACGACACAAAGATAACAGAAGAAGTGGTTTAGTACAGCCACTGGACTGTAAACTTTGGAATGGCGCAAGCTGTAAGACTATAAATGTTTGAGGCGTCATTGATGATGCTCAGATTGCGGAAAGAGACCGGTCAAAATGCAGGCAATATTTTGCTATTGTAGGTATTGTAATTTTTTGTTTTCTTAATTTTATATAAGTCTTTATTTGAAAACAAATACGCCTGCTTTAACTCGCGTTCTCTTTCTCTGCCCGAACTAGACTTGTCGTGAGCTGCAAGGCTTTACAAAGTTAAGCGGCGCTATAGATGATACTTCGTTGGAGAGTGAGCGCGGTGGAAAATCAGACAGATATTTTGTTTTTCAAACTCTTTGTTAATTTTACGATGAGTACCCAGTTATTGGCTACGCGAGGTTACTAATTTTCGTTAGGTTTTCTGCCTCACAAAGGAGAGTAGGTGGTGATTTCGAATATAACCATTTTAATGTTTTTTGTTTTTTCTTCTGAGCCCAAGTTCTACTCTAAGGCTGACTTGGTGCAAACGTCTGCAGTGATGATGAGTAGCTGTTATTTCCTGGAACATTAACCATCTAAAAGGGGAAGGGGGATCTGGGGGTTCCGGACGCATAAATTAGGCGACGATGCGTCGAACGTGCGACGGGCAAGCGAGGGGTTGAGGCCACGGAAGGGGAGAGCGTGGAGAGGGAGCAGGACAGTTCAGCAACGGAGGCGTAAAGCGCGGTCCAAACCAACACGCAAAACAGGAGAAATTGGGTCCCGGAGAAATACGACGGACGAGGAGCGACGTCAACGATGACGTGAACATGACGTTATGCGGCTCCTGCTTGGCGGCTCTGAAGTTAAAAATATTAAACTTTTTTTCTGTACCGGAGAGAGCCGCGAAGCGCCGGAGAGCCCGTGAAGAGGTCGGAAAAGGTCGGGTGAGGCGGGGTGGGCTGAAGTGGAATGGAGTGGATTGGGGTTGGGGGGGGGGGGGGGGGGGAGCAGGGAAAGGGGGGGGGGGGTTACGCTAATAGCCTCTCGGAAGCCCAACAAAAGGAGAATGGAGGCTTAAGGAGCTGTTGCTTTTGTTGTAGTCTCCTCCTGGGAGTCACTCGAATATCCCACAAAGAGCGCATTTTCTCCCTCTCCCGCCCGTCCCTGTACGGTTTTCCGTTTTCCTCTCTACATATTTGCCTCCAGCGTTCCGGCGCAATTTTATTTTCAAGGTCTCTCTCATACACTCCCACACGCTTCTGCACTGAAACGGCAGGCGGAAGTTGTGGAAAAAAACAGGTTCCTCCTTCCTCATTATTGAGGGCCCGTTTCGCGGCTTGGTTTGGACCGACCTTAAGTTGCCGAACACAGGCTTGAGAATTAAATCGTTTACGTTATGACTTGGCCACCTTGACCTGTTGCATGATAGTAGCACCTAACTATGCAAACAAAATGTATCTG